CTCTCTCTCTCTCTCTCTCTCTCTCTCTCTCTCTCTTTCTCCAGTAAGCTGTTCAGTGAGTTTATTCTCAAAGTTCCTCTGGGGCGTCTTGTGAAGCAGAAGTTGAACTGCATGATTGACATCGTCCACAGCGACCTGTTTACTCAGCATGGTACGTATAAACACACACACACACACACACACACACGTGTTCTCTCTAAAGGTCACTGTCTGACACCGGCTGCATGATGGTGTTTTCATGCTGTGAGCTGCGTGTGATGCTGTGATTGGTGCGTTTTGTGGAAATGCATCTCTTCTGATGTTATTGATGGATAAAATATGAGCCCTTATATTTACAGTGCAGTGATAGATGCTTTTTTTAACTTGACCTGCCCAATAGAAATAGGTATTTTATTTTGAAAAATTATTAGCACGTAACATTTTATTTTTATTTTTTGTATTTTTGAATCAATTAGATGCAACCCTGGAAAAGCATAAGAGACATAAAAAAAATCATGCTGACCACACTGTTATGCTTATGTCTAGAAATGTAATAAATAAATAAATGTTACGTGCTTGATGTTAAAGAAGGATGATACCGTAATGTTTAAGTGAGACAATTGTTACTGGGTGGGGAACAGATCAAATATGACACTGAAGAGTAGTACGTTTCAGAAAACTTTACTGGACGCATTGTGTGAAAGGGTACAAATAATTATGAAAAAAGAATATGAAATTTAGCACAAAAAAGGAGTGTCACCCAATTCAAAGAAATAAACAAAACAAAACAAAATCCTTATACCTAACCTTTAAACTAACTAACAAGGGGAAAAAAGGAATGAACATAAAACCGAAATCTTCTGTGTGTACGACGCTCCTAATTGAACTCCTCTTAACTAGAAACAGAAATACAAGGGTGGCGTAACACTCACAAACCTAATCTAACAATGTACGAGCTAATCTAATCAAGAAACAAAACAAATAGTATCATAACTACGTTTGACTAAATATTTGAATTATCACCAAAGACATGTTTGGTTAAGTAGCTCGATACATTCTTAACTTTGAACTTGACAGATAGTAAGACTAACTCTAACACGAACATCAGCGTAATCTTTCACATAGAATTCGATACAAGTCAATAGCCAAAGAATGAATCTATAACTAGATCAAATCACACAACACAAAGCATGACTCCATAAGACAAGATGCATTAAGCATCGGGAGACAACTGGCGTCAAACACGAGACTGCTGACTTGGAGCATAAGGTACGCTGGCGTAGCGCACAAACACAAAATTAGCTCGAGGCCTCAAATACGAGAAGCGTATAACTGCAGCCCGGAGATCTCCAAATGGGGGCAGGAACTCCAAAACGGGGTGGGAGCTCCAAAATAGGGCGTGGCTTCCTCCCATTGACAGACAGGCACATGACACGCATGCGCAATTTTTTCCCCCAATCCACTTCAGTGCAAACTCCGCCCCACAGCTGATTCTAAAAATCTTATTGGTTGTGTCAATAAGTGTTGATTTCCTACACTATGCTATAAAAAATGCTAACCCCTAAACCTACCCCACACCGGACCAGTGAAATTGACTGCATGGCGGGATTGGCGGTGAATAGCGTGGTAAAGAAATTTGCAGTTCAGGAGATAAACAGTTAATAAGATTATATGATATGAGATCGTTCCGTAACTCCCCAACCGGACCTCACCGGACAATGGCACCTTTTTAGTTACACCCAGCATCACTACCCCCTCCTACCCTGCAAATTTCGAGCCCCGGGACGCCCTAGTTGCTTAGAATAAAGCGATAGAGTGAAATCTTTCCCCTGCGCTGCGCTGGGACGGCTCGTGGGAGAGCTTGTGGGTGATTCGCGTTTATATCATTAAGCAGAGGTTCAAACTCCAGTCCGAACACCACTGGCCACTAGCTTTGGGCTCTGCTCTCACGGAGAATATTTATTTATATAGCATATTTTATTTTAGATGAACTAGAAACAATGTTTAATTTATAAAGTTTTATTTTGAAATGAAAGTCAATAACAATTGGCTGGAGCTAGAGCCAGTGGTGAAAGTCTTTGTGCGAAGAGATCCCGCCCCATTTTGGAGGTTCTGCCCACTTTTGGAGTTCACGCCCCATTTTGGAAATCTCCGGTCTGCAGTTATATCTACTTGTCAAATACAGCCGGCACGTCAGCGGATTGGCAGAGCATCATGACGTCTGAATGATGATTGACAGTCTAGTCAACCAATAAACAAAGGCCTAGATGTGTGGTAAGAAATAACACAAAAAGACAGGAGAGCAAGAAAAAAAAAACAGAATATAAACAAAACACACATGGAACGTAACAATGGATAAGAAAATTAAATTAGACAAAAGTGTGATTAAAAAGTGTTACTAAAATATGATCAGTAAACAACTTATGTTTTTACATTACTTTAACTCATCAAAATAAGTTGAGCAATTTCAATCTTTTTATAAGTTACTTGAAATTCAACTAGATTTTTAGAGTAAGCTCAATATAAAGTTGAAATTACTTGTACAACCAATTTGATAATACTCAAAAAATTTAAGGCAGCAACTGAACTATTTTTTAAGTTGAAATGGGTGGGAATTTTTTCAATTGTATTTCTTTGCTGATTGCAACCCCTTAAAACTGACCTTCCACTCGTTTTTGTCTCGCAATATACTAGTTAAGAATCACTTTATTGTATCTTATTGATGCCTGATTTAAGAAGCACATATAATTGCTTTAATTATGATGCAGTTGTCTGTAGAAAGTTCTGTATTGGGACATTTCTTGCAGAAATCCAGGTAATTCTCATGAATGTTTGTGAATGGCATGAATGATGCAGTGTGTAAGGATGTTGTGTGTGTGTGTGGTGTTAAAGCAGTGACATATGGCAGCTCTGCGGGTAGATTGTAAGTAGATGCACGTCATTCAGCAGTAATTATCTGTGGATGTGTCTCCTGTTCTGACTTAATTAAATCACTCATCACGCGTTCGTGCGCTGTCTCATGCGCTTCAGTCTCTCGCTCTCGTAAGGAACGCCATAAAGAAATCAGGATTTAATGAATGAGACCAATAAATAATTTGATTAATTTCAAAGTATAAATAATCAGATTATTTGGTAAATAATCCACAATAGATATGCATGTATTAATAAATGCATTTAATAAAATAATATTGGAGATTGGACACATCATCTATGAAATATG